GGCTTCATCGAATGTCTCCCTTGTATTTGTTCTTCCTCCGATTACTCGTCCCCTGCCCTCCCTCAAATCTCCTCCCGCCGATCGCACACGTCGAGCAGCCCAGAATGAGAAATCGTCAACAGCCTCGCACGGATTCGATGGTCCTCCCTCAGCAGGTATCTGTGCTTGCTTGCTCGCCCGCTTGTTGCCCGATCGATAGATTGGTTGTGAACGACGAGTATCACCGCTCAGCAAATCGAATCAAACTCAAATATACATAGATTCAATTGCGTCAATCGTGTCTCTTGCTGCGTCCGCTCGTCGAGCTGAGTGTTCTTGTGCAAAGTCAGCACCAATCCTGCTGAATGTCTCCGCTTGTTCCCTCCGCGTCCGTTGTTCCCCGTTGTCTTGTCGACTTGCCACTCGGCAGCGATTGTTATTCGGACAACGACCGACGAGGGGAATCGGCGAGCTTGCCCGGACCGGCGGATTCAAGAGCCGTGGGGAACTCCGATCCGGCTAACCAACAGCTCTGACTGACTGAGCGTCCAACAACCGGGTGGGGTGCTGATTGCTGTAATGGTGGGAGGAGTTGGCACTCAATTTGTTCAAAACACTGACTTTACACAAAGGACAGCGCACGGCAAGCGGGGGAAATATTGGAAGAGAAAGACTGTGTCGGGGGAAGATAACCGAATCTCGCGAGGGAAAAAGCGACGCAGATCGTGGCGTCCGCAGCAACGGTGGTGGTATAACATCCACACCGCCGCCGTCGCCAACACCACTGCCGGCGGCGACCGGAGAGGTTTGAAGCGAGGCCAAAACGCACAAATGGATCCAATGACCATTAGGATGGAACGGTACAATAGCGCCTTTCTTCCCCTCCGAACTCTGTGTTCGTACTCTTCTGGCATTTTTCCCTCATCCAATGGCGGTGTTTTGTCCGATCTGCGGCGCAAAGAGAACTGTAAAATCTTGCTGATTGTCGGAGTGATCGCGTGAACGCTACCCCCGCTCCCGGTGACCGCTTTCAAGCGAGGATACCTCCAGTTGTTCACGGGCGTGCTCCGAAGGGAAATACCCGAACCGGCAGGAGACGGTCGTGGCTAATCTTCCGATCGATAACTCACCTTTGAGAAAATCAAAGTGCGGAATGAGGATCCGAAATAGAGATGATCCGCAAGTCGGCCAGGACCACATCATTTGCTCATCGGGAGTACCGAAACTAAAATTGAGTGCTCAGGCTATTGGGTCGATGCGCCGTTTGCGCCAGCCGAGGAGCGGTATGCGAAGGAAACGGACACACCTAGGCCAACAGAGTTCCCCGAGCGACCGCAGGTCGAGCATAAGGGACAGCGCGGCGTGAGGCGCAGAGAGGCGTTCCGGGAGCGGTTGGTACTTCATCGTGTTCAACGCGACGATGGGGAAAGCATGGCCGCCAATATCTGGAGACGAAAACAAACTCGCAGAGGAACGCAGAGAGTCCACCACGATACTCTGCAAGACGTTCCTTCCGAATGAATCCACGAACTCGCATCGTGTATCACGAATAATTCTAGGAGCTTTCGGGGTGATTACCAAGAGCTTTTCGAAAATACAGATATCGGAGGATTGCGTCAGCGAACGGCGAAAAACTCCATTGCGCACCGTCGATCGAGTTCCGCGTGGGAAATAGAGCGGCTTCGAACTTCGGAAAAGAGTTTGGCCTGGAGTCGCGTGCGTCCGCTTCCGTCTCACTGAGACCGGACTCGCCCGGTGTCCGCGCTCCTCTCACACGAAAAACTGCCTGCGATGACCGCTGCTCTCGAAATGGTATGCTTAATGATGGTTGTAAATCATCGGTCTAGTACAACCCCCACAGAACCAGGTAGCTATGAAGTCAACGAAGCCGCCAACGAGCTAAAAGAGAGATGTATGGCGAATGAAATATGTATGAGGATGCAGATATGCGTTCGTTTAGCAGCGAGTGTCATGTGCGAGATGTATGTGAGTGGGGAATGCGGCCAAACGAGAAGAAGGAGGCGTCGTCGTCGTCGCCGCTGCTGCGGAAGATCATGGCTGGAGCGGTTGCCTGCGACGGCTGCAGTGGCTTTAGCACCGGCAGCTGAGGTGGCGTCAGAGGATTTCTTACGGTCGAAAACAAGAATGACGGGGCGAGGGGGACTCGGTTCGTCTCTTGATTTCCTCTATGGGGAATTCATTTGATTCGCTAGGAAGCACAACGGGGTGTCTGGGTGGAGGGCGATACCCTCGGACACGCTGCCGGCGACTACGAGAGGAAAGACGACAGAGATACCCATTCCGAAAGCCGCTCGCTCCCTCCCTCCCCCCGCGCCTGCGGGAGCCTCTCCTTCAAGAACAAGTTTATCCCGCCCGCCCGTTCGACCGCCCGCCGCGTCGCTCGCCCACCGGCCACCGTTCGAAGCTTTCCGTCTACTCAGCGGAGCTTGTCGACGTTTTTTTTTCTTTTCTCACAGTGGTCTCGGTGCGGTATTGCGGACTTGACACGACGGCAAACGCCCCTGTTGGATGAAGGTGTCAAGTGTCTCCTTCAATCGGTCATCGTAATCCCTCGTGGGTGTCGTTGTTGTCGTCAACGCCGTTCTCGCGGCTGTCGCTGCTGGACAAATTTCACAAGACGCAGCCGCTTGCGAACAGGACGATCTGCCGGCCGAAGAGATCCCGGGACGGCGGATCCTGCTCGGGCGAGCTTTCCCGTCTCGGACTGACCCTGGTGACCTTCCATTAGGGCGAGAAGATCACGGAAAGATGGATGACCTCTAAATTTCCTTTGCTCCGAGAAAAATCGTCCTTGAATGAATTATTTTCCCGGGTCTCTCACTTAAACTGATTTAGATGCACGGAACACCGCCTGAGACTGTCTCCGGAGCGAAACACTCCGATCAGGGCCCGAACTTATCGGAAATCGACCTTAGGCACGGGTAAGGTACGAAGGCCTCGCGGACGCATTAATTCAGTGTATATCTTTGGAGCTGCGTTCTAAAGTTGTCCCCCACCACCTAAGAAGCGGAGCTCGAGTCGGCTCCGCTCCAGGACGGGTTCGGAATTAGTGGCGCGACCGCTGAACTTGATAGCTGGGCTGCGTCCGCGTGTATTACAACATGGAGCAACGTGCGGAACGGGAAACATCGAATGTTGACAGCTACGAAACGCCGGACAAAGCGTGCCGGGATGCGTACCACTCCCACCGGACAGGATCAGATAAGGCTTGAAAGGTCATTTCGTTTGCAGCTCGGGCTCACGAAGATCGAGGGCCTCGCCGTCAAACGACTGCCCGCAAACTTGAATGGTGAGGCAAATTAGCGGGCTCGAATGGACTGTTAATTTCTTCTCCCTGTCACAGTCAGAGAGAAACGACAACGTCAGGGAACGCTTGGCTTGCGAAGGAATTTCGCTGCTATGGGGAGGGAAAAGACTTTAGCTTGCGAAGCGAGCTCGGTCTACTAGTCGTGTCGAAGGCCATCGAATTGCACAACGTTCCCCCGTAGAAATACGAAACTTGGGAGGCCTGACGTGACGGGAAGCGAGGGGAAGCATAGTCCTCCAGGATTCGGACGAAACACTGGAAGTCTTCCGGACCTCGACGGGCTCCGATACCTGCTCTGTTGAACGGATCCGTGATTGAAAGCCCAATCGAGACGCTCAAAAGTTTGATTGGCGTCTCGGTGCGGGTGTTCCCTCCGGCTGCTCTCCATGTTTGGAAAAGCTTTTGTTCCCATCGACAGCGGGAGCCGTGCCAAACAGTTCCTCGACTCCAACCGACAATCATTAGTCCCGAGGCAGTAATGACTTCCCTCTTAAGAGATCTTCTCTCCTAAGCTGCTTGCCGGCCAGTCTTTTCGGAAGGAAGATTCCTTGCCGGCAGGGAAAAGCGCGGGAGTGTTTCGCTAAGGACTCCCGCTGACAATCATCAATGTTGAAATCTCGAAGGTTTCTTTGTGAAATGATTGCACTCCGGCGTCGAGCATGCAGAATGAAGCGGAGCGAAAGAGTACGCAAAAGGGAATAAATCAGCAAACAAATAAATGAGGAGAGGATGCGCAAGCTTCAGCATACGGAGCGCAAAGCGAGCGAAGCGGGACGTTCATAGCAGATCTCTCGACCCGGTGATGGGGCGCCGCGCCGTCCTCTCAGCGCGGGATTTTTCAAAAAAATAAGAGAATAGAATATCGATCGGTCCTCGATCACGAGTCGCCCGCTCGGTCAACCGAACAACGCTGGAACTTCGAGCCCTATATCGATTCGAAGCCGGGAGCGCCGGAAAGCTCCTGCTCCGATGAAAATGATTCCCCTGTTCCAGCTTCCCGCTTGCGGCATCGGGACCGTGTGAAATGTCTTGGTCGGAACTCCGTGGAATGAGGAGTCCCACAGGGGCTACTTTGCAGTGATAAAAGCATTTTCCCACCTCTCTTCGACGTTGTCGATTACTTGTGGCTGCAAAACGATGCCAGCGGAGCGAACCAATCCCGCCATCCGGCCAATATGCCTGCACGACCCGAGAGGATATATGTGTGTAAAAGCTTCTACGTGACTCCGAAACCGCGCGTTTGCCACTCGACAAACCGATCGGGCAGCGGCCGGCCGGCCGACCTGCCGCGCGAGCCTCCACCGACTGGTCAGGCTGGAGTATCGCATTTGTCAAATGGCTTCCCTGTATCGGCCTACCGTCGGTTGGGCAATGTAGCAAGCGTGAGCCACACTCTGACCCCAATTAAAAGAGCACAACAGCGGAAATATTATCGGCATCGGACGTGGGCTCGGAACGCTGAGATACTCGGCTCCGCACGTGCTCAAGCGTCTCTTCTAATTTTTCCCGCGGAGCAATTCGTTTCGAAACCGAACGACCTTGACTCGTGCTCGTCCTTTCCGCCAAGAGGGATTTTCTAGCTGATTCCAAGCCACGTACTCTTTGTCCCGAGCGATCGTTGACCGCAACTCTGCGTGTGATCACACGACGAGGTGTTTCTATGAGGAGGAAAACTCTACTTTCAGCAACTCACCCTTATCATCAATCGAGAAGAGTCCCAGTCCGTCGCCATCGATGATCGAGTATGTGATCATGCCATCGAGTTTCGTGGAATCGTCGTCGTCGGTGGCTGTGACCGTTGTCACGAAGGCTCCCGGTGGCAGATTTTCGTCCACAGAGGCCTGGACCACGACGTCGGCGAATTTTGGGGCATGTCGATTTTCATTGACATCTTCCACTTCGACGAGGAGGAACGTATCGGTGTGCAGCGGTTTCGGTTCACCCGAATCGCTGGCGCGAATGGTCACGTTGTACAGTTGGCTGCGAGAGAGAAAAAGAGGTTCATAATTCGTTCGTTCGCCGTGAATAACCTTCATGAATGTTTAGGGATCGAGCGAGAAATTAATATTCATCGCGGTATTCGCAATGAACGCGAGATGCTGGATGAGGAACTCACTTTGTTTCGAAATCAAGTTCGCCTATTAGACGCACGATGCCCGTCTCCGAGTCGATTTCGAACAGGTTCCGAAGTTCTTTGCTCATCAGCTGGTAGCTGACCTTCCCGGCATCGTCGAGGTCGGGATCTTGCGCCGCCATGGTCATTATGACGGAGCCTTTCGGGAGGTCTTCGCGAACCCTCGCGATGTAGTTCTTCAGAGTGAATCGCGGACGTTCGTCGTTCACGTCCTGAACCTGTATATTTACCATCGTCGTTCCGGTCAGAGGCAGTTCGATCGAGGAATCCGTTGCTTTCACCATGAGGTTGTATTCTGACTGGCGTTCTCGGTCTAGATTCCGGTGCACTATGAGAATTCCGGCCTTTTCATCGACAATGAAATCGTCGGTTTCAGTTGACAGTTTATATCGAATTTTCGCATTGTCCCCCTCGTCGGCATCGGTGGCCCGTAGTTTGACCATGACGGCGCCTTTGTTGACCGATTCGCTGATTTTGAAGGTGTACAGGGATTTTTCGAATATTGGCGGGTTGTCATTGACGTCGAGCACGTACACCACGACGCTGATCGATGCGGACTTCTTTGGTTCTCCCAGATCGTAGGCCGTTATCGTGAGGACGTATTTCGGGGTCCGTTCCCGGTCGAGGGGTTCGACGAGCATCAGGTTCCCTTTGTAGAGGTCCATCTTGAAACACGAATCGTCGTCACCTGACGAAATTACGTAGACGATTCGACCGTTATAGCCGTGATCGGCGTCTTTGGCACGGAGTGGAAGGAGCGTGGTCCCGACCGGCACGCTCTCGTTGACAGAGATTTCCACGGGTGTGTCCTTGGGAAACTCTGGCGCAAATCTGTTCTCGAAGAAACTATGGGAAATAAGGGTGTCCTCTATCTGATCATGGCTGCGATCCGCTGTGGACACCCTCTTCGAGAGGAATTCCCTTAGACTCTTGGTCAGACCGGCTTCTCGGCATTCGACATGCGGTCTGAACTTTTCCTCCTTGCGACTCTTGAGCAGATGGTTCTGACTGTCGCTGTACTTCTCGATTTTCACTTTGACGTGCATCGAGTCGGAAAAATGTTCGCCGTCGGTGGCCGTGATGTTGAGCATGACGTCGTCCAGGTCGACGAGCTCGTTGGAATCGCACGCGACCGACAAAATTCCGGTTCGCGAGTCTAAAGAAAAGCACTGGTGTATGCTAGCCGGCTTCATCCGGTACTTGTACTGCACCTGGTCCTGTTGATCTAAATCAATGGCTGACAGTGTGAGGATCGCGGTCCCGATCGGGGTCTGGCTGTTTATGCTAACTGCGCAGTCCACCTTCTCGAACTGAGGTCTGTGATCGTTCAGGTCGCGAACTTGAACACGGACCGTCATTTCGGTCTGGCGTTGAAACGGCGTGCCCCAATCGGTGGCCCGTATGCGCAACAGGTAGAAACTCGAGCTCATCTTCTCGTAGTCGATGTTGTCGGTCGTCGACACGACGCCCGTGAATGGGTTGATTTTGAACGGGATCTTGTTGGTGTTCGCGAGCGCGAACGTCACGTACCCGTTCTCTTCGTCGTCGGCATCGGTGGCGCTCACCGTGACGACTTTTGTACCGATTGGAACGTTCTCATCGATAGTTACCACCGATCGGATGCTCTGGTTGAATCGAGGCGCGTTGTCATTACAGTCCAACACGTTTATATTTACAATTGTCGTGGCCACGGCAGCTCCCGTCCGGTGTCTCGTCGAGCGGCTTTTCGTGTTCGTGGCGCTCACCGTCAACGAGTAGTAGCGTCTCTGCTCCCGGTCGAGCCATTTGTTGGTGGAAATCTGCCCCGTTTTCGAGTTGATATCGAAAACGCCGTCCTCGTCTCCGGTCTCTATTCTATAAACGATGACGTCGTTGTGTTTCTCTTCGTGGGGTAGATGTGCCGAAACTCGGACAATGGGCGAATTCGGCGGGGCGACTTCATCGATTTGGACGTCGTAATCTTCTCTGTTGAACACGGGCGTGATGGCTCCGAGTGAAGGACGCACCCGAATGAATACGCTCTGATCGGTAAATAGCGAATGGGCGCCTTTATCCCAAGCGCGAAGGGTCAGGTTGTAGCCGCGGCTTTCCCCGGTGGCCCCGTTGCGCGGATCGAAGTCGATATTGTACTCGCCAGCTCCGATCTGATGCACTCGGAACTGACCATCGACGTCTCCGTCGGTGATGGCGAGACCACCGATTTCTCCGTTAACCCCGACGTCTTGGTCGCTCACTTGTACAGCCGCCCACGTTTCGGGACCGACTCCGTGCTCGATATAGGATTGGAGATTCTTGACAATGATTTGCGGTCGATGCCGATTCGCTGGCGACAAGTAAATGGTCACTCTAGCCGTACTCGCCTTAATAACCGTATCTGGAAAAAGAAAACGAGATTAGTAGGAGCCTTTTTTTTCCTGAGAGCCTTCGGAATCGAATAGACTGGATCTGCACGACGCGTACGCGGAGACGATCCGTGCCTCGCGGGAGGAGCTGCATCCCGTAGAGAGAAATATGCGACCCGAGAGAAACTCACGAAAGGAGACGCGCGTTTTTGACGTGCTCTCGTACACCTTCAGTCTCGCGTCCCCCATCCCGGCTTCGAACTATGTAGTTCCAGTGCGTGCGCGTAAGCTCTCTCGGATAGGACAATCTGTCGAGCGGAGCAGCAGCAGCCTTAGGTTAAATTAAAATGCAAAGCAGCTCTCAGAACATTGTTCTGTTTATCTTCGCTGTAGCACTGAAGGTTGACGCCCTGCCGTAGGCCGGCGGCCGACTCCGCGTTGGCCTCGTGTTTATGAAAAAGCCCTGATTCCACCTTCGTTCCCTTCCTTCTTCTCTTCCTCATTCTGCTCCGAAGGTTCTTCCTCGGGGAAATTCGTCACTCGTCTGACTATCTCGCGCCGTCTGACTCCCGCGCAGAGAGAGAGCGCCTCGGCAGAAAGTCGGTGAAGCATACGAGCACCTGAATATTCACGACCGGCTCGAGAAATAAATTGAAACCTTTCCTCGACTACACATAATCAGGTTGGAATTTTCTTTTGACTTCGAAATCCTCTACGCTGCTCTCCTTTCGTTTCTCTTTCTCTCCGCGCCCCTCTCCCTCCCGGACGGTTTCCCGCGCCGCACACCGAATTACCGTAGCTCCTCATGAAACATTTGTTTCCCCGGCAATTCGACCGAGCTCTCGGGGGTGCACAGATCCAGTGAAACAATGCGAGACCGGAGAAGTCCATCTTACCTGTACCCAACTTTGGTCCGCGGTCCCTCGCTTCGACGGTGAGGTTGAACACATTGGATTTCCGATAGTCGAGCGGCCGCGTCACGGATATACTGCCGAGCGTCGGATGAATGGCGAACACGTTGGACGGCTCGGCGAGATTGTAGTAGATTTCACCGTTGATACCTTCGTCGGGGTCGTCGGCGTTAACCTGTAACGTGGGGAAGCGTCGGTGAGGAAACTTCTGATGAGAGGGGGCTCTCATCCTAGGTGTGTCGACATCTCATTCGCGATCCTTAATCGCATAGTCGTGGATGTCCGTAGCTGATGCCGGCCGAGTTCTCGACTCGACCCATTGTTCAAAAGTTCGTCCCTTTGAATGGCGCTCAGGCAAAATGTCATTGTTCAGCACGGAATCGTCTCGGCCGCTTGTCGGGCGCGAATGTAGCCGTACGCGTAGAGAGCGCGGCAACCTGATCTTGCTCTGGTGGAGTACTTGTTTCGGCCGAGAATACGCTAATAGCGTGCTTTATGAACTTGTTGGGACTCGCAATGACTTTCGCACCGCATACGAATATTAGATTTGTTCTCCGTCAGACAAGATGTCTGAGCGGACAGCGGGAGGAGTATGTAGCTTCCATCAGTCGGCTAACCAGTCGGTCCGGCCGGAGATATGATGTAAACGGAATTCCGTTACATTCCGTCCCGCATAGCGTTCGCATCATCAAAGGAGGCACGCAGCCATACATAGCTAACCGATGTACGGTCGGACGTAACGTAACAGTTGCATTCCCCTCCAAAAGTGTGCAAGGCTAACCAGCTGATTTAATTAGTATCCGAATTCAAGCGGCGCGTGATCGTGCCGCTCAGCCTATCTCGGCCGAACAACGGACGACAACGAGCAAACGGTGGAGCAGAAAAAAAGGGCTCAATCGAGTGAATCGATCGATCGATCGATCGCACCCGTCCTTTTATCGATCGGAGCCAGAGCAACAAGGAAATGAATGAGCCCTCCTGACGACCTTGATCGTTCGACGCTCAAAAGGAGATTAGGGATTAGGTATTAGTGTCAGGGGTCAGAGATGAGACAGATAAGATAGCCGAGGGCAGAGGGGAATAAATGAAGAGAAGGTTTACAACAGTGCAATGCTCATAAATGGCATTAGGCTCTACTGAACAGGTTACGCTAACGAGGGTGTTCACGTCTGGATACGCCCTTTCCCGGGAGCGTAATGGCCGTCCTTCTCACTGCTTCCCATATGCTTATAGGTGCGTCACGTCCCTAAAAACAGAAAGCACAATATCCAAAACTAGCCGTGCTCAACTCTCAGGGGCGCTCACCGTCACAAAAACCCCATTCAAGCGAACGAACTCGAACGAGAAACATTTTTGACGTCGGTATAGGTCGGCTCGACTCCCGCGGCATTTGTCAGACTTCGACGCCAACGACCGAAATGCGTCCCCGGATGAAGTCGAGAGCATCCTCGACCGAGTTCCACTTTTCAAATGAAAACGGGTGTCAGATTTCTCGAAACAAAGTTCGGTTTTAGAGCTCATCTTCGTCATCGGCCGAGTCGGAAAACTCAGACGATCGCAGTTCGCTCGGACAGAAACCTTCTGAAGAGCTCGACGAGCCGCTGACACCATCGCCCTCCACCCCAACCCCCCTTCCATTTTATTTCTCGGTGAGCCTCCTCGAGTTGACATAACGAACTGGGACATTGGCCGACCTTCTCGCGACCTCGACGGGATTGACAGACAACTTGAACGTATCATTGAGCTTGATAGGATATCCACATGGAGCCCACCACATTTCTCGCCCTGAGCCCCGCGACAGACCATTCAAATAGATTCTCGTGATTTTGAGGGTCTCCGATCGAACGACGCATCGAGATCGTCAGATCGTCAACGAAAGTCGAGGCCGGATTCCCATGGGGGACGATTCTTCGAAGGAAAACACAGCAGGACTGTGAGGGATAGAGGAACGGGATCTCGCCGACTCGAAGCAAAACCCGCCTTCTTTTTCGGTTCACTATTGCGGCTATTAGCATTTAAATGAACTCACTGACTGATTGACTGACTGAGCACACTGTTCAACAAGAAAGCTAAAAATTGGGAATTCAAGACTGCGAAGAGAGATAGATTCGAGTGCTCTCGAAAACATCTTGAGGGACTACGTCTTTGTCAGTCGGTCCAAACGTCTTCTGCCGCGGCTTCGGGGGAGCGCACGCCCTCTTCAAGGTGTGCCTTGGCATTCAGCGACAAACGGAATCACAAACCGCGGTATCTTCCTTTGCGTCCGCTCTTTGTGCATTCCGCTCCGCCCGACGAGCGATTATTTCGCGACTTTGCTTCATTGTCGCAAGTGCGCGGAAGGACAGCATTCCGCTAATTTCGATGGCTACCGGACATTGCTCGAGAAACACTCAAGACAAATGCCCCGGAAAATGAGATTTCCCAGAAGAGTCACGACTCGGAAAACGTTGGCCAGTAGTTCAGCCGGGCTGGAAATGCTCCGTCATAACGGAAACACTGACAACAGACGTACATACATACGAAGGCTTCGACACCCGCTCCATTCTCTTCGTTTTTCCGCATCGCCCTCCGACGGCCACTCGTCTCCGTTGTCGTCCTGTACCCACTCACTCCCTTCCTCACCCGCTGCAACTCTCTCGTTCTCTTCGACCGTGTTGAACGTGATCCGAATTCGTTGCACGTTACAGCGTGACGTTCTTGTGCAATAGTTCTAGATGAGGGAGCAAAGTGGTGCCGGGCACAATGTTTTATTTCCCGTTTCAATTTTGGTCCCACTCGCGCGTCCGTCTACCAGTGCGCCCCCCTACCAGTTCGGACTCTCGTCTTACGGTGCCTCGCATACACCCGGAGGTCCTGAACCCTCGGTGGGAACGTCCTTCGTCCTGGAATTCGATGATTCGCAGGGGACTGTTGCGGAGTGTGAGGCCCCGAGCCGAAACCTACAGTCGGCTCGATACAACAGCGACTGAAAAAACAACAGTAGTCCTATTCTCCTGTCCGCGACCGTCGCGGCGTGCGGGCCGCTTTCGGGCCGAGGGCGACCACGAGACAGGCGATGATATTTATGATAAATTAAACAATACTGACTCAGTCGGCTCCCCATGGAATGAGAATCAGAAGCCGAAATGGCTGACTCTTCCCGATTGATCCACGAACATTCTTGAGCCCCGTGCCGAGGCCCGCGGCACATCGGGGTCACATCGTAGAACCCACGGAGCATATGACGAAGGCATCGCCGTCGTCATCTTATTTCCCATATACGCAACAGTGTGGCGGCAAATGGTCACACGGCCATAGCAATGCCCGACCGACCGACGCACGGAGACAAGCAACCGACGAGCGAAGGCAAACCGTAGAGGCCACGTAGACTAGTGGGTTACCATCCACATAACGGGACTTTCGCCCTAGGGCGGTGTCCATCGTCGCACTACGGTCTCCCGGACCTGCGATTCGGACTCGGCTAAACAGCTGCCGGTCCCGGCCTGTCTGCCGGATGGACGGAAGCTCGCAGAAGGCAAAGAAAGACATAATCAGGCCAAACTTATAGCTCATTTATTAAAGGCTACTTCCTGGAGCAATTGCTTGATCAGAACCCGATGCCCGCCACTCTAGCCTCCGTTAATGTCGTCGTCGTCGCTACCGATACGTTGGCCGGCCAGCCTTCCTACCCGCCATAAAAGGCCACGCAGGAGACTCGCAGGAGTTTGTTCGGAGGCTCGCATTGCGGCTCCTCCGCCTCCTCCTACTGGACGCACGAACAGACCGAGGCGAAAGTCTGCGTGCGGGCTCGTAAAATTCACATCTTAATCCTCTTTCTTTCGCAGGACCGGCCTGTTTTCGGCAGGACCCACATAGCTGCCTCCTAACGTCCTCATTCGAAGCCCGTCTGTCCGTCCGCCTGTCCGGCCGCCCGCCTTATCATACTCTTCATCGCCGCCGTTGTCGTCTCCATGATCGCAGCCGTCGTCTCTGTCATCGTCGTTGTCCTCATCGCGGCCGTTGTTAGTCATGCATACTACTACTCTTCTGGGTTCCAAGTGACCTCGGTTCGGGAATTCCTTTTGAAGTACTTTCCGGGCAATAACCGGCTCCATTCACTTTTTCTGGCCCTTGGATTCCTGAGGCTCGCTGACGAATGGGGGAGAGACTCCAGGAAACCCGGTCCTGAATCCTCCAGGAAGTCGTTCCAGTCGCGTCGGAGGCTACAGAGGGAATATCGAAGCGATGGAACGACTCCGAAGTCACCTTATGTCATTAAGTCGATGACGGCCTTATGGGGATGAATTGCAATGCTCGCCAGCCAGACGGCCAGGAAAGTTATTGGGAAGAGTTATTGATGTCACCGAAAGCGCACGACGGCAATCTGTAATTATTTTTCCCATCGCGGCCATGCCATCGGACAGAAGTGGGGCGCGGGGTTCGCGTTCCGCAATCAGCGACGATATCGCTCCGACCGACCGCCCCCTCCCTCGATCGCTCGCGTAGTGCAGCCACAAAAACTCAGATGAATGGAAAATGCACATGCTGCAAACTCCACGTCGGCGCGGCGACCCTTACCCTCGGAGTACATGCACTCATCCCGACTCCTACGCGCAGCTATCGATTGGACGAATCTCTGAGGGGGATTTTATTCATATCCGATGAGAGCGGCCGAGGAGAACAAGGCGACAAATTATTCGATCGCGTTGTCAACAAGCAGCCCAAACACTCGTCTCCCCCGTGACTCAAAACATCGACCGATCGAAAACATTTGCTTCCTCGTTCGTCCTTTCATAGCCTCCGTCGAGAGGATTGAAGAATATCCTCCGGAGAATCGAGCTCGAGTCATTCTTCTCCGATGTGAGCTCCGCGGGAAGTCACGCTCGAGCAGCAACCGAATCGATTCGGAAGTCTCTCACACCAGCACCAAGACCGGGTGAACAGAATTCCGGACGGTTCGTATTGAGTATTTGCGTCGAGTCCCCGGTCGACACGGAATCATTCAATAGACTCCGATGACGGCGCCGAAGATCTAAGGCTTCTGACCAAAAGTTCTGGAGAGCGGCAGCATCCGAGTCAAGGGTGAATTATTCGCGGGGCAGGACATCGGCGGATTATATCGAGGATCTCGAACAGGAAACAGATTGCCGAGAGATAACAAGACGGAAACCGTTCGTAGCTGAGCAACAGATTCCGCTGCGGAATAGTCGACCAGCGGCACGGCGAATCCCGTCGCAATCGTACTCGAAATCCTCGCTGTCTTCCCGGAATGCACTTCGTCAAGAGCTTTATTGTACCTTCCTCCCGCTCCGAGGCCTTATGAAGATGTGATAGGGATCGTCCCAAGCCTTATATAGCGCCTGAGGCGAGCTCCCGATTAAATGGATCGCGTCTGAATAAAATGCGGATTCATGAAGCTTAATCTTATTTGAAACGAACGATTCTGAGAGGATTGTACGCTACGCCGCACGAGCGGCTGTCGAAGCATAGCGAAGAGTCTCGGGGTAGTTTATCCACAGGAGAAAATGCATTTCCTTCGGCGCCCTTGCATTTCGAAGCCTTCAATCCCAGTGATCGTCTTGCGTTCTCGGAATCTACCTAGTCGAAACCCATGCTCAAAATCGTCGGTCCACCGACACGTATTGCGTCGTGAAGGAAACGGAATTCCAGGGAGCATATCTCCTCTTCAAAAATGGCGGAGGAAATTCGACAAGAATCGACGGAATCGGACTCACCTTCAGGATGTTTTGGAACAACGGAGTCATCTCAGAAACCGTGACGTTGTAGGTTTTCGGGTAGAACAGTGGTGATATATCATTCTTGTCGAGAATGGTAACTAGGACGTCGCAGTGAACATCGTACAGCTTCCGGCTCTTCTGCTGCAGGGTCCCTCTGACCTTGAGCTTATAATGTTCCTGATATTCCCGATTCAAGACCGCACTGTTCTCGGTTCGTATCCGTAAGAGCAAATACCAAAAGTCGCCGACCTGCAATCAAAGACGAATAATTGTTATTATCGAAGTCTCCCTGTTCAGCTCCTCCTCACACACGGCTGTGGATGGAATCTCGGTGGGTATTTTTCAACTCGAGCTCTGTCTCCGTCGTTTTCGAATAAGATTTCGATGCGTTTCGTCTGTTCCCGTCGTCCGCTGCGGTGGGTTGGTGACTATCGGAGCGAAATCGAGAGTGTACGAAGAGCGAATATCCTACAAACGCCGTGGAATGCATTTGGAGAGCGAGACGACAGAAGAGCCTCGGAAGACAGAGCAGAACCGAGAGTTGGGCGAAAGAAAGAAAAAGACATGCTTGTCTTCGAAACTTGTCGTGGAGCTGCCTCGACGTACATAACATATTGGATTGATGATGGCTACGAGTAACGTCTATCGAGAGAGAGGGAGGGAGAAACTGAGCGGGCCAACGGACGGTCGACCGGCGCGGGAGTGTCTTACGTGACATATGAGAAGACCGTTAGCAATACAAACTCTCAATAGAGCTCATCCCGCGGGAGGCTGTCGGCGCTTTGACCGAAGAGCAGGAAGGCGTATCTGCAGTAATCTGCTTAGAAGTTACGCCAGTTGAGCTCCTCCGGCCGGCTCTCGCCGGCTGAACTGACGAAGTTTGAACCCTCCCGAGATTGCGAGTCAACTTTTATTGAGAGATAATGGCCACAGAGTTCTCGAGGACTTCGATGCTGGGTCTTGCAAGGGGGGGACCGCTTCCCGGGACAGTTTCTGTCATCCGGTATCTCAACAGCTTTTGTTTCACTCGAGTCCGTAAACCCCTTTCGCTCTCGGGCTTTTCCAGAAGTGGACCCACGTGCGTATGCGTTCAGACTCGCACCGCAATCAACGTCGATTTTGCGTGTAGTTCACGTTAGAACCATCCTGGACAGGTTGCCGGTCCGAAACACGTCGCGTCCCTCACGTAGGTACGCGCAAGCATCTGAGCCGCGGAGCGCGGCCGCGTCTCGCCTTCCATGCATGCGTGTATGCCCACGTGTATGTGTATATGTATTTCCGGGAGATAGCACATCTATTCCTCTCATGGAACGGAATATATGCAGACGTCGGGGCCAGAGAGGACAGGGAGATCCAACGGAGAGGTTGTCCCTCGAGCAAGGAGGACACCGTGCGAGGCCGCGGGGAATCGAGAAGACAAATCTGATTAAGAGCTCGCGGAATCGGAAGCAAAGTTCGCTCATGATGGAACGTTGGCTACACCAACGACGACGACGCGAGTCTCTCTGCCGGCTGCCCGACTCACTTCGTCATTCGGATACCCGGTCACTCGGTCAGTTCTGCCGTGAGCTGAAGTCGGAGGGATAAGTTGTCCGGGAAAGAGACGGGCAACTTCCAGGGGACCCAACAGAAGAAGATCAACGGCTTAGTGCCTCTGAGGGAGAGGTGCTCAGTCAATGGCTTCCACGCTCGTGGACTTCGCCGGCGCCGTGGTTGCTCAGTTCGGGAGCAGGACCCCAAACCGAAATCCCTAGGGCTCGAAGAGGGATGTATTGAACGTCTGCGTGGAGCGCGCGTGCGGGAATGAGTAATCTGTCCCGATGACCTTCGGCCAAGCTCACGTCGGTCGTCGGAGTGAAGTTTGTGCGAATCGCAGAAAGGAGAGCCGCCCGAGTCGAGGGCACTGATTGTGAGATGGACTACATTCGAGCTCCTATTGGATCCGGGAATTCTTGTCCGGTGCTTTCGCGTGCCTCCGAGTCGTTGGAGGTCATTGATTTCGTTTGTCCTCCCGCTCTCATTCGCCTGAAGGTCGATCGGATCCATGTCCTTTCGGGTTGGGTTGGCCCTGTGCTTTCGTTAGGTCTCCGAATTTCCCCGGAAAGTCATGACGGTCAGTAGATGAGGGAAACGGCCGACGAATGGATGTGGAGACCGAAGAAAGAACCGAGAGAGCGCGGCAATAGAAGAAACGAGGAGTGATTGGGGGAAGACACTGAGGAGATCAATGGGTTTCCTCTCGGTCTCCCGATCGCTGTCATCCACTCGCTCGCTCATGGGTTGCTTGACGGTGAGCGATCCGATCCGGCGAGGTGGGATACAAATACGAAGCAACCGAACAATTCGATGACGGATGCAGTGGGGGCTGATACTCCGGTATCACTTCACGTAACGACTCCTAGAGTTCGGTCTGGCATAGCGTCATACATACCCTGCGTCAAGGGAGTCGCATTGCCAACACGCGAGAATCCCGAGAAACACGAGTGCCCGGGGGCAACCGTTTTCCTCTTCCGAACCCCGTCGTTTCCTCGAACGATTCTGTTTCTCGAGTCTGAACCCTTTCCGTGCCTTATCATTCCATCATCCCGTCGACGTTGCAGTTACCAGCGCAGCGGCTGCGCAATCTCCGAAACTTCTGTTTCCGGTGGGAGTGCGAGGGAGGCGGAGGAAAGGAGGAAGACTCGTCCTCAGTCATCCAAAAAGAAACATCCACCAACAAAAGTGAAAGCTCGCTTGCTTGCCGGTCTGGTACCGGAGGGAAACGCGGGCGAGAATGCCTCTAGTAAAACTTGGATGCGCTGTGATACGTTCCGAACGAATTTCGCCATCGAAGCCAAAATCAGGCAGCCACCCGCTCGGGAAGACGCCATAGTACGAGAGCGTGTTGTTGGGGTCCCGATGATGACAGCAGTTTTGTGAGGCCCCTGGGTGGCATTGACGTTCAACGGCGCGCTTTGGTTGCCGTTCACGCACTCATTCGCCTGCCGTCGGGCCAGATAGGGTGAGGATCCGTGCCACGGCATCGGTATCGCTCTCAACAGAGAGCTCCCCTTCGCCTTATTGTCGACTACTTAAACGCACGCTGACCGACAATCCGACCGAGCCGTAATCCTGCTCGATCGCGGTCAGGACAGACATGGGGCAAGCGGGCACGTTGTTGTAACACGCAATCACTCCTATCCTCACTACTCCCAATCGTCTGCCCTCACTCGGTCACTATGTCGGCGATATCTCTGGTCGTCCGCGGACGTCTGTACGTCTACCGCCACTATGGTGCTCGATGAGGCTCTCGCGTGATCTCGTAGTGCTCAGTTGCCTCACTCGGACGGCAACTTCGCTTTCAGCTCTGACTGAATCTTATTAGAGGCGGTCTTATAATCCGACGGATGAGATATTCGAAGGCGTGCTCGCCTCTCCGGTGATGCCGCTGCAGGTGCTGCCACTGCTAGTCAGTCAGTCGGAGCCCCGGTCACCCGACCGCAGCGTCACTGTACCTATACGGTCGTCCGGAAGAGCAAGATCCGAGGGAAAAATGGCTGGCGTGACGGGTTACTTAGCGGGGTGCGTCGAGGCAGAGATGTTTGTACGTAGCTTACAAGGGACAGAACGTCTGAATGATGGGGAACCATAAATTTCAATATTGGCTCACCTGTTTTGCCTCGGCCTTGAAATGCTTGTCTTTGTCGCCGGAAACGATCTTGTACCTGACGTTGACCTCGGGAGTCGCGAGGATTCCCATCCTCTCCTGAGGTCGCGCGTACGTTTTTCCGACGCAATTCTCAGGAATCGATACATTGTACGATGCTCTGGTAAACGTGAGCCTGGAAAATTGAAGGGAGATAGTCAGTTCTCGTCTCGAAGTTTTCAGAGAAGAGATCTCCGTCTACCCCTCTGGGAACTATTCATGGGAGCGATCTTTCCATTCCGCAAAGCTTGGGAGACCGGGAGATCGACTCCTCGGAATTACGTTTCATTAATGAAGTCTCTGCGGGAATTCATCTTCAGGGCAGTTAACCGTGTTCGTTCTCATCTGCCGCAAGTTTCTCGGACAGTCTCGTCAGACCCGGAAAATTGAGGCGGCTCTGTCGTTTGCTGTCGAACGACTGACTATTCCAAGGAGAGCGAAATTCTCCGAGACGGATTTTTCTTTATCCGCTCCTTCGTCGATGCCGGCCCTCCGAGAATTCGGCCCTCACGTTGCGAATCGCGAGCTGTTCTCCTATTCACCCGATTTCCGCGAGATGTTCTCCTCTCCGCCCGATTTCCATGCCTTCTCGCTTCTTCCGGGAAAATCGCGATGATCCAGATTTATCAAAGTTCGATTCCAGAATCTCAGATATAGGATTTGGTTCGCGAAAGAGACGTCGTGCAGAGTTCAGAAAGTTCGGGGAAGCGATGGAAATGTTGGCCCTCGAAATACGTCTCCTACTATCGAGAGTGATGCGACATCACAAGAATTTCAACTAGAAAACAACTTCCTGAACATGTCAAAGATCGACCTGATGGGTTTTCTGCGAAGGACATTGATAAGACTCGGCTGTCCCGACTATTTCGATTTTCTAATGATACGACGGCGAGTCCCTCCATGGGCAAGCTTTGAACAGCCGATTGGAACGCTGTCGCCGTTCGAAACCTTCTAGGTTTGCATCCAAAGAGGAGCCGGTTCGGATCAGGGCAAAAATCCAGAAACATGATCCCGTTCGCCTCTGACGGAGGAGAACGGATACTGCGAGAGTCACGGCATAAATCCGTACATGGTATGAACGAGAGGAACGTGAGGTTCCTTAATCCAGAGAGACATGAGCATGACACAATCCTCGACGACTCGGTGTCAGAGCTGAATAATTGGACAGAGTGAGCAAGGATCCGACCATCCTCCACAGAGAAGCCTTATCGAGTCGCCGGAGATTTTTTAGCACCTGTCGCCGAATTTCCCCGCTCCGAAAACACAGACCCAGGGACGATTCGACGGGACGAGTCGAGCCGGTCATTGAGCTACTCTAACAATTTTGAATGTAAATAATTATAAGCAGCTTACCTGTCATCGGATAATTCGATGGCGGCCGCACTCCGATTGAATGTGACGAGAATGCTAATAATTAGAAGGAGCTGTAGGGAAACTCCCCGTAAGGGACGTCCTCCCTGTAGGAGCTCCCTCCTATTCATCGCGCCGTATAGGCCCTAAGGACATCACAAACTCATAGTCGGCGAACTCCGACAGTCCTGAAACAAAACAACGGGCTTTTAGTTAACATTCGCCGCGCACTCTTGCCTAATCTCGTTCCATCTACGAACTTCAAGCAGGATGTGTACGTCAGGTGTCGTCGATAAATCGAAAGAACCACCAGAATTGTCGACCCGTCACCGGCCGTGTCTCCCTTCGAAACGGCATAGCTTATTTTGACGAGGTGCTGAATAACCAGACGAAAATGTTCCGAGAAAGACATACAGACATGTGCGAATTCAATTTGACAGGCTTGGTTCCGGAAAAAAGTTACGTCTACCTATGTCTGGATATTTATGCGATCGTCGCTCGTGCATCCTTCTGGAAACACGACTTTCAAACAATGTCAAATCGGCGGGATCCTGTTATCAGCTCCCCGGATAATATATCGATTTGTCAAACCCTTTGATCTGACTCACTGAGGTTGGAAATTCCGATTGACTCGTTCTGCTTTTCGCCTTTACGAAAGCATCCGATCGGCTCTCTGACGAGCATCCGCTACGAGCGGAGCTGCCTACGGTTCAAAGTAAGCTTCTAATGGCTTTCCGATGCTGATTGGCGGAGTAATCGTTTGATGTTGACAAGAGTGACAACAACGCCACGCGCAGCAATTTCAACGAGAGTCGCTCCTGCGGGTAACGCTAACGTCCATGGGCGCTCCACGAAAGCGCTCCGACCACCCACGAGTGACCGGTGACTTGCGCCAAGGCATCGAGTCGGAAAATGCTCTCCGAAAACTCCGGAAGTGTGCGCAAGGCCGCCAGTGGATAAGCGCGTTCCCGAAGCGAGAGTCTTGGGCCTCCAAAGGATACGACGACGAAAATAAAAGCTGGAGGAGCTTCGGATTTTGCGGATCCACTCAGAGACCGCTCAAATGGCAGAGGTGAACCGGCTGCGGGCGGTGTACGAGAACGAACGCCATCGAATCGGAGACCCTGCGGTTCCCGCGCCGAGAACAAACGGTTCTCGCCCTCGCCGCGGCTATCCGAATCGGTGCGGATTCCCAAAACTGAACGAATCTCCCTCAAACGATCCGGGTGCCTGAACCAGCGACTGGACCTTCGTCCGGGGCACTCGCAAACGACCGGAATGCACATCGACCCGAGCGTTTCCGTTTCTTTGCTGGGGAGATCGGATTCCAGAGGAAGCGTCGTAAAACCATATGCTCCAATTTTTTCCCCTCCAAAAGGTAAACAGTCGCTTCGCTCGCATCGTAACAACGCGGAGCGTCAGCCGGTCTTTGATGTGGGAGTTTTTGTTTTTCCATTTTAATTTCTTCGGGGTATTCCCCCACTCTCCGGTGGTGCCTCAACCCGCCTGCAGACAAGGTAAACATCGACATGATCTCCATGGGCACGAGTCGCCTCTGGTTGTCCTAGCTTGTGCTTCATAAAAACGACGACGGTCCTGAATGCTCAAGGCATGTGGTGTTCCAACCCGTCGGCTGTTACTTTGTTCGGACCGAGTGACCGGGGTCAGAGAAGAAAAAATATTCGAGGCGCTGGACGTCTTGGGTAGGAAAGAAATGGCCTTGAGGAAAATATTTTGGAGACAAGATGGATCGCGATGAAAGCAAGTAAATTGATTGCGCGCTCGCCCGGCAACTGGACGACATCCCCTACGACTGACTCGATTTTTTCCCTGACAACGAAAGGCCTCATGAATATCGAGCAAAATTCCTTCGGCGCTGATGTTTCCGACATCGAATCTAATCAATTTCAGTCTATATGACCGCTTCCGATCGAAAATCGGGGATCTGTGATTGGAAATCCCGTCCTTCTCTCACTCGGGAGAACCCAACGGAAAGTCGGTCAGGGGCCAGGCAAAAAATCGAGCGATCTTCCCAGCTGACAATGGGAAGAAGGATTGGAATGTACATATGAATAATAATAATATCAATATTGATTAGCATTAATAATAAGAATAATAACGGACCATAGACCGACTTCCATCTATGCGATACATGTCTCCCGATTCGGGATTTAATCGCCATCAGGAACCGATTGTGGCTTGCTTGATTCGGCTGATCCTCGAGGGGGATTGCGGGGAAGATCGAAAATAGAGAAACAGTAATTATCGAGTCCCAGAAGATCGATTCGAGAGCGGAGTGAGCTGAACGAGCGATTCCCGAAATCCCTAATTCCGTCTATCGAAGTGTCTATTTGCGTATTCTCTCGCTCGACGAGCTATCTAGCGACATCAGGCTCCATTGACAGCAATAAATAGAATTATCAAGGCATGCCCCATTTGACTGGACGACACAATCAGCCTCTGGATGTACACAAGCATCCAGATGGACCGAGACAAGTCCTGTAATGAGGAGAACGAATCTTCATTGAAGCAGAAACAGGAACCGATGTCCGCAACGCCTACGAGCGGCGTTTTCGCATCATGTCATGCCAGCTGGTCCAATTTCCGAAAGTTGGCGGAAAAGTAGGAGTCGGATTTTTCTGACAATTAGCGAAAGCCTGCAGAAAAGAACGACATAGACCACTCATACGCTATCATTGCCGCAGCCTCGCCAGGGGCTTCTCGACTAACATCCTGAGCGACCATCTATTTGGGAGATGGCCGGAGACCGAAGTCTCGCGCGGGAATCGATTCAAGTCCACGCTCGGATATTTCGTCGTCCCGAATGATTAGATGGATGGCGTCGAGTGACGGATGGTGGGTGGATGATTTCTCGGAGCCTCCGGACCGATAGGAGTACTACCGAGAAGGTTCATCTGAAGGGAGTGGCGGCTTAAGCGACCGGTCGGCGGTTATCGTGGCAGAGTACTTTACCAGCACCGCCACCGCGTTCTGGTTCATAGTGGAGCGCAGGGTAAACACATCTGTGCCTGAAGCTGCGTTGCTTCGTTAAGCCTGCTAGTGAGCGAGCCCCGAATACAGACGGACGGACGGGCAGTCAGTCGGTGACTGACTGACTGACTGACATTCGTAGTGGCCTCCCTCTTCAGATGACATTAGTCGGTGGTGCCGTTGTGGTGCCTACTTTTCTCTCGCGCGGTTTCCACCCAGACCGCAAAGTAGCACTGCCCAAGGCAAACACAAAACCCTAGGAACCGCCACTGCCGCCTTCACTCCCTCGCTTATCACCTCCAACTGTCCAAACAACGACGACGACGTCGTATGCGGGACGGCCTTGTGCCACCCATCGGTAGATCTTCGTACTTCGTCGCTCGTTCACTCGTTCGTAGCTTCCATATCCGGCGATGGATGCAGTCACTTGATTCTCTCCATTCTCCTCCTCGGTCCAACGTCGGGTCCGTCAGGGGAGTCTCCGCCAACTCTCATATGTATATGTACACATAATGGCGTGGTGCAGCGTTTATTATCAAGCCTAATGGTTTTTACGAAGAGAAGCAGACGCGAGCATTTTGGTCAGGGGTCGGCTCACTGAGCGATTGATAAAGCGGGCGAGTGACTGACTGCCAAAAGAGTCTCCTTGTTCTCCGTGAAAGCCCTCGGAGGATGATCAGCTCGCCCACCAACGTTTCTGAAGCTCTACCGTTCCCGGCTCCCTCGCTCACAGTCCTCTCCCCGCTTGTTGGTACCAACTTCACTCGGTCAGGTATGCTCTCGGATCGGGTCTGCGCCACGTGCGACGAGCACCACCTCCGTCGGGGGTACTCTAGAGAGAGCTGAATGGAGTACCAGCTCGACAAGTACTTGGGCGGAGCCCCAACGGGACAGCTGTTCCCATAATATCAAGTGCCTCTCCCATTGTCTCGAAGTCTCTGAACAGGGAAGAAGACGCTCCGAGAAAAAAATTCTGATGAAGAAAAACCGGCGGCTCCCAGATTTGGTGTCTACGATGCGTGCCCTCCACGACAACGAGGGCCGCGCGTCCACGGCGAATCGAATTCGTTGCGTGATCACCGTACTCGATTGTCGAATACCGAATTCCAGGGAGGGGGAATGAACACGTCAAGGCGAATACGGCTACTTTTCTTTTAATCGAAAGTCGTCGCCGTACCTGGAGACTCCCCGCGATGTTTGGCGGTAGAGCTCCGCGCGCAAGCGTCGATCCGGTTTTGGAAGAAACAATTCTTGCCAATGCTCGCCGGTGAAGACAGAATTTAATTGAAATTCGCATGGAAGCGGAATAACGAGGAAATCAGAACCAGTAGAGCTCGACCTTGAGGTCGGAAGTGGACACCGCTGAGCGTGGAGCCAAACGGGCAAACCGCGATAGCCGAACAAACATTTGGCTGACGCTTCACCCGAATGTCTACGAAACGTCAGGATTATGAATTGATTTATGAGCGCTCTTTTCGATTGCGATTCATTTGATCGCTCCGATGACGATCTCGCCGGAGAAAACGACGACGTTCAACTCTCCGTCCCCCCGCGTTCGTATGGATCCGTGCAAATTGGAAAAATGATCTGTCGACAGCGGATCTTCTCCTTCGGAAGCAGTTCTTCACTTCTGTCTTCTGAAACGGCTCGGGAGACATTTCGACTCGTCTACTACATACCTCGACGGGTCTTCTGGACCCGTATAGCCCGATGTCAAGATAAATGGAAGTGCCGTACTTTTCCGAAAACAAGATCGGTCCTCATGCAAATTCTCCGAAACGATTCGAAGAGGGTCGTTATCACAGATGGAGTCTCAACTCAGAGTCCGAGGGGCAGGGAAACTCCGAATTCCGAAGTTTTTATCCGACGTGCTGCACAAGGACCCAGATTAACGCGGAGACTTCCCCGAAGCTGAACATTCCCAAACCGAAGACAGAACCGTAGACAGCGGTCCTCCTTATCTCGGACCTCAGAGATACGGTCGAAGAGCTGAGAATTTCGCCCGAGAACTCTCCACGGAACTACCGGCCGGAATCAGGCAACTCGTGCTATGGTCAACTCCTATTCCAAACCACAGAAAAAAAATTCTCATTGATATGCAAGTGCGGGAAGAGAAGAGCCGATGCGACGCGACGTCGAC